AGGAGAAGGCAGCCATCCGTATTGTCACTGTCACCTGTGTGTAGTGTGCTGCAGGAGTGGATTCTTTTTATCTCAGCTGATCAGGAGACTGAGACAGGAAAATCTTGTTTGAACCCAGCCTGGTCAACTTAACACTGTCTCAAAATTAAATTGAAAATAAATAAATAAAAGGGCCAAGGATGTAGCTCAGCACTCCTTGGGTTCAATTGCCAGTACCACCAAAACAAATCAATTGTCATTGACTCTACTCTAAGGAGGCATGATTTTCTTTTTCTTTATGATACTTAGAACATGTTTAAACTTTTGGGTGATTGGCAGTACCTTCTGATTTTTTTAATGTTTTAATTTTGTTTTTATAACATTTTGGGAGCGAAGTCCAGCCTCTTGACATTACCATTACCAGATGTTACCTTGTCTTGTCTTAAGCAGCTTGTAATACTTGAGAGTATCCCAGTTTAGCAGATACACGTTAGGGACTCGGGGCGTGTCTGCAGGCAAATAAATCTGCCTAGGTATAGCATTTTTTCATTGTATCTTTAAGGTCATTATCTATATAACATGTTTTGCAGGTTTTCCATTTATGGTAGGCATACAAACTTTACTTTTTAAGTTACAGTAATTCCCCAATTTATAAGCAGTCAGTTTACAAACTTTCACAGTATACTATGTAAGACCCACTTTGTCAGTTTACAAAGGAATCCAGCTTACAAACAATTCTGCCAAAATGGAGTTTGTAAGTTGGGGACTCACCACACATAGCAGAACTTGTGGCTGTTAGATACATCTAGCCCTCTTTTTTATCCACCTGTCAGCCAAAATAGATTCCAAATATCACTCTGACCGGCGCAGCCCCAATGAAACAGGAGACAGGAGATGCTTTTGTGGACGACAGTTAACTGCTAGTTTATTTACGCGGGCTCTGGTTTATATATTTGGCCGTGACCAATCACAGGCAGCCACGAGGAAGCAGGGCAGGAATGGGACACAGGCTCTGGCTACTATATCCAGCTGTGGCCAATCAGGAGTTGCCACAGAGTATGGAGTGAGCACGAAGTGCGCACGAGTTGGCTAATTTAAGGAGGGACGTAGCGCATTGCGGAAGCTGGCGTAGTCCTTAGTCCCGGGTGGGATATGGTATGTTGAGCGCCTGCGCCCAACATCTCCCCCTTTCTTTATAACTGACGCAGGGTCTCCAGAGGTCGTTGCCCCTCGTGAGGTGTCACGCTGCAGTCATGACAGTGCCTCACTACTCGTTGGTGCTCTTTTGGAGGGGGCGGGAGTATTGTTTTATGAGCCCAACCCGCATGCTCACCGACATGGGGACCAGGGTGTCTCCTGGCCAAGGACGACACCCCCTGCGATGCTTTGCTCCACACCTGCGTCACAGCATGGCGAGCCATGCTGCCGGGCTTTGACCAGATTCCATGATCAGCAATGCTTGTTTGATACTTTGTCCCTATTCCTTTGTCTGCGAATCCGACAGAGCAGAAGTAGACTGCCGAATGCGGCAAGTGTAGTCATGGTAGCCAGAGCCCCTGTTTCTGCCCATTCCTTTATGAAAGCCAATTGGAGAGTTGGCCTGAGCTGGATCACAGGAAACTCGTCTGAGTCCGCCATAACTGGAACCGGTGCGAACTGGAGTACCTGCATAACAACAGCTGAAAGTGTACTGTTATCCCAACATTGTAACATATAACAGGTTGCGGTGGAGCAATTTAGAAAAGTCATTGGCTGCAAGGGCCGTACGAGATGCAAGAAGGAGGGGAAAAGGAGGCTACTAAGCAGGGGAGGTGGCCAAGGTGCCATAGTTAATGGGAGTTGTGGGTATACTTGCTAGGTCTGGCTTGTGAGGCTCCTGTTGGTTCCCCTGTTCTGTGGTTGACGTTTCCTCTGGGTCGGAGTCTGGTGGTTTGCAGGGACGTATCAGGCGTTCCGGGACCCAGACAGGTTCGCTGCCTTCTTCCTGTGGGAAGATACAGACCGCCCCTCTCGCCCAACTAAGTACTGGGCTGGGGCCTCTCCACACCCCATGCAGGAGGTCTTTCCAGCGTACCCAACCATGTTTGGGTGCGACAGGGTTGGCATGTAGCTGTGCTGGCGTGGATCCTTGTGGGTTGATGTTTACAAAATTGTAAGTGAAGAGGGCAAGATTTAGTCTGGCCCTAGGTGTCATGCCCTGGGCAATACCCTCCTTTTGTTTAAACAGAATAGACTTGAGGGTTTGATATGGCCTAACTTTAATTGCTCTTGAATAAGTTTGGATGCGGCTTCTGCTTTGTCTTGTGGTAGGGCCGTCAACAATGGTAAGCCCCGACTCCTGCCAAGTTAACCAGCTACACCTGGTGCTGACCCAGAGCAGCTGTGAGCTGCTTAATGAGCGGCATGGCTGTCTCCGCGTCCCCAAAAATTCTCCCCGCCGCCTCCATCATGCGGGCCACAAAATCTGAAAAAGGCTTGCTCGGGCCCTGCAAAATTTTTGTCAAGTGGCCTGAGACTTCTCCCCTAGCCGAGACCCGTTTCCATGCTTGTATGGCTATTCTATTTATCTGTGCATACACCTCTTGTGGAAATATCAGCTGGTTATTGAGATACTGTCCTTGTCCTAATACCATATCCGCGTTCCAGGCGGCCTGATTGTTTTGGGCATTAGCATGGGCCTGTTCTGTGGCAAGTTCAACATTCCAAGCTTTCCAATCAAGATATTGGCCTGGGCTGAGCACTGCCTTGCACAAACTGGCCCAATCAGCAGGTGTCATGGCATTTCCTGCCAGGGCTTCTACTAGGGACAGGGTATACGCCCCATTAACACCGTACATGGTGCTGGCCTCCTTAAGATGCTTTATCGCCTTCATATCTATAGGCAGGTGGGCTCTGTTTCCCTGAGCATCTACAGCAACCGGAAAAGCCTGGAGAAAACGGCCCAGGCCTCCTGGGTCCTCTCTTTTGACTTGATGCCAAAGGTCTTCCTGGAATGTCCCAGGGGACGTCTGGACCCGTTGCGGACAGCTACATAGCTGATGGCAGGGTCTCCAGTGAGCATGATAATCTGGCGGGTCGGGAGGTAGAGCCGTAGGTCTTATATGGGGTGGCCCTGGAATCCCGTACTCACTTTCATTGACCCATTTACTCTGAGAAATCCTGCGTTGCAGCTCATTTATGGCCTCAGAGTAAGGCCCTCTCGACTGCATGTGTGTGACTTCCCCTCTTTCGGTGGTGTCTGCATCCACCATTTTGTATACTTCTTCTTCCTCCCCCTCATTATCTGAGGAGTCCTTTGCTTCTGGGTTGGGTGGGGTCACCTCGCCTGCGGCACTGGGCTCACGAGATTGCTCGCGGGAGGATTCTGCCTGATGGTAATCAAGCGCCATGGCGCCAGCCCTTATATGGTCACGACAAGAGGTGTCTGCAAGGCAGCTTTTCACCACTGCCCAAAGGGGCCTGACTCCTGGCTCCAGGAGGCCATTTTCTGCTGCAAAGTCAAGATCTCTCCCTGATTTATCCCAGCTGGGGATGGTAATGGACCCCGTGGGACCAAACCAAGGTGCTACCTTATCGACCTGATCGAGGAAGTTTTGAATTTGTTCTTGTTTCATTTGTAATCCCTTTTCTCTCAGTAAGTCGCTTAAGTCGACTGACAGTGGCTGAGTAGCCGTGTTGCCCATGTTAACCAGAATTTCAAGAGTTTCTTTTTTTCTTTTTTTTTTATTTATTTTTTTTTCTTTTTCCTTTTTTTTTTTTTTTTTTAAACAGGGACAGCTTAGTCCCCGCGCCCCTTTACGGCGCCCCCAAAACCTGCCTCTTTACGGCACCGGGAACTCTCTTTACAAGTTCCTCGACCCTTGCGACACGTCCGCCCAAGGTTGCCTGATAGCCCCCTCCATCCGGCCCTGCAGCCCCCGCTGCCTGTTGCGTAGCCCCCGCTACCAACGTTGAGCAGTTTAACCTGTCAGCCCCCGCCCACCGAGTAGCCCCCGCTATCGGCGCTTGACGGTTTTACCTGTTGACGCTCTGTTCCATCGGAGAGAGGGTCTCAGCTCTCCTCGTACTGTCGGAGAGAGGGTCTCAGCGCTCTGGGCTCCCCGTACGGGCCACCAGTTGACTGGCGCAGCCCCAATGAAACAGGAGACAGGAGATGCTTTTGTGGACGACAGTTAACTGCTAGTTTATTTACGCGGGCTCTGGTTTATATATTTGGCCGTGACCAATCACAGGCTGCCACGAGGAAGCAGGGCGGGAATGGGACACAGGCTCTGGCTACTATATCCAGCTGTGGCCAATCAGGAGTTGCCACAGAGTATGGAGTGAGCACGAAGTGCGCACGGGTTGGCTAATTTAAAGAGGGACGTAGCGCATTGCGGAAGCTGGCGTAGTCCTTAGTCCCGGGTGGGGTATGGTATGTTGAGTGCCTGCGCCCAACATCACTCCAAGAAGGGCTTGGTCTAAAATACAAGTAATTTGTCCAAGCTGCTTCATGCCGAGATTATTTTTCTCCTGCCTCTTGCCTAAGCAAAAGACATTTTAAAGATTTTATATGCATATGAGTTCTTCTCACTCCCATCCTCAAGTTGCGTTTTGCTGTAGTAATCTCAGATGAGTAATTTGGAAGGCTGAGGGTGCAGTTCAGTAGTAGAGCACTTGCCTGCTATGCACAAGGTTGAGTTCCGTCTCCAGCACCACAAAAAAAGGGCCCTGCAAGATTTTAGTGTCCTATTGATGGAGAAATAAATGGATAGTTTTAGTCAACATTTTTCTATATTTCATTTAATAGAGATTTTAAATTCATTGCCCTCAATTTTTTCCCAAAGAAATGTAATTATGATAAATCCCTATAAAACAATTTAGTTTTATTTCTCCATATACTTGTTTTTTGTCCAGATATAATCTGTTAGTTTTTAAGAACAGTATTGTTGTTGTGTGTAAAGCATTTTTATTGTTTAGAAGTAGCAAGTACATTGGAAAAGTGTGAAACTTAGCTTATAACGTTGTTCTTTTGTTATCAGGGAAAAAGGAGAAACCAAAGAAGTTCACAAAACAACCAAAAAAGCAGATGTCTTCTCCCTGTGCTCAAAAGAAAGAAAAGCCATCAGAGAAGGTAACCCCAAATGATGTTACTATTCTAGAGTTTATAGAAGAGAGAAGCAAGCACGTGTAGCCAGAAAATATCTAAAACAGAGGAGTAGCATCACAGCAGAATGATAGCAATGCAAAATGATTGGAGTTTTTATAAACGGAGATTATAGATCTTTAAGATATGTTGGCAAATGAAAAAAAGGTGGCACCGAACAGCGTGTGAAGGAGCATCTGTGCCACCGCTTGTGGAAATCACATGGGGAAACACATATGAATTTCCTTGTGCATGTGTAATGTGTCACTGGAAATCTGTATAAGAAACTGATATGATAGGCTGTCCCTGAGGCAGGAGACAGAGGTGCTGTTTAAACCTTTTGAATTTTGAATGAATATTGCTTATTAAATAAGTAAACAAATCGATTTTTAAATTTTATAATAGGCCGAGAGGCTTCAGTGACACCAACAGCATGTGAGTGTCCTCCCGCAGGCTGTGAGCACCTGATGCAGTCGGGGCAGGGAGATTCATTGCCTCCCGTCAGGAGTTCACTGTCCCAGCTCACCTCCCTCATGTCCTCCGTCAACAATAAACGCAGGCTCTTGGTAGTTTTTTTTTTTAAAGTGTTTAAATTACATCTTACAACTGTTTGTGGTAGTTCTTGTCTTGTAATTTCCCTGTGCCCTTGAAGGAAACCAGTTAAAACTAACAGGACAATAATAGTCATAGTTGGTTTAGAGAGAACCATGAGTTCCAAAAAATGTGTTGCGCTGTTAGACTGAGACAGAATCCACACAGCAATATTGGATAGGGATAGGGGCTGTACATTCACCTGTGTGTCAAGGACCACAAGCACACCGATGTGCTAGTTCTAGAAGATTGTATGAATGTAGAGTTTCAAATAAAGCTTGAAATAAAGCTGGTTCAGATTCTCAGTCCATAAGTCTTTGAAGAAGTTTCTTTTTTCTCTGAACCTGTTTTTTATGGAGATCATGAAATACTGTCTGTGTCGTGTGGTTGTTGGAGGGGTCAGATGAAATAACACTTGTAATTTCACACTGTGAAATTTGGCACTGTGTCTTGCCTGACTCAATAAATTCCTTTTATAGTTATCTCTAACACTCATCAGTAAATGTGTTCTAATTGCGTCTTAATTTTGTCTGCTTTTTTAGTCAGCTTCTAGAGATGTGTCTCCTTTCATGTGAGTATTGCTCCTTGGTCTAGTTCTGTCCATTCCTAGAGCAGCATCAATGCTGACTTCTGTTCATATTTTTTCAATAGTGTGAGTATGCAGAAGAATAAATGGGATGCCACAAGGTCGTTGAGATTCAACCAGGATGCACAAAGAGAAGATGGTAAATGTTATTACTTGGGTAAAATATAAATTGGCTATAAATAACACAATGTTTTTTATTTCAGTCAAAGTAAACTGAATAGCTTTAAAAGTTCCATCTGTAATAATTAGAGCCAATATTTGCACATTTTCTTAGTTATCAACTAAAGTTTTATTGCTAGACAATCCAGTGGGTAATATATTGTTTTATATATTTGTAATTTTAAGATCTGTCAGGCAGACTTTTGACCACTGCTTTTACTGTAAAAGTGACTGAGTATGTCTTAGGCTGTGTTGTAGACTATTACTATAACAGAATATCCAGGGCTGGGCACTTAATACAGAAAAGAAGATTATTTATCTCCTACTCCTGGAGGTCCAAGAACATGATGCCAGCATCTGCTTAGCTCTAATGAGGACCTTCTGTCTCCCTCACAACATGGTAGACAGCAGTATGGTTGGAGCACATGCCAGGAGATACCACGTGACAAGACAGAAAGCAAGAAAAATTCAAGTACCCAGTTTGTTGTTTTATAAGGAGCTAAATGGGGTTCCACTCAGTCAGATCTACATTAATCTCTTTGAAGGGCAGTGCCCTGGTGATCTAACTATCTTCCATTACACCTCACTTCTTAAAAATGTTACACCATCTCTCAACATCGCCATACTAGTAACCGAGCTTTCTGTGCAGGAACTTTTTTTTTTTTTTTTTTTTTTTTTTTTTGGTACTGGGAATTCAACTTTACGACCTCGCACTTGCCAGACAGGTGCTTATGCCTCTGAGCTAAACCCCCAGCCCTGAGCGTGAACTGTTGTGTGCGGACTCAAACCATATCCAAATCGTAGACTGGTTTGCAGTGATCTAAAAAGCAGCACAGCTGTCCACATGCATAAGTCATTTTGCCACTTGTCTTAAATTCTTTACAGATACATAGAGGTATCTGAGAAATAAGAGAAAAAGATATTTTTACAAACCCTTGTTAATTATAATCTGTGTGTGTGTCTATGTGTGTGTGTGAGTGACTGAGGGTTGAACACAGGGCCTTTGCACTGAACTACATCCCCAGCCCTTTTTTATTTTTTGAGACAAGGTTTTGCTAAGTCGTCAGGTTGCTGGGAAGGCGTGAACTTGTTATCCTCCTGCCTCAGCGTCCCATAGCACTGGGATTATAAGCCTGAACCCCCATAACCAGCTAGTTACAATCTTCTTATATAAATATTATAAGTCATCTTCATGAACAGTGTTGTTTACTGTTCTTTATTTTCAGATCAACGGCGGATGTCTGAAATTACAGGGCATCTAATAAAAATGAGATTGGGTGATTTGGACCGAGTCAAGTCAAAAGAAGCAAAAGAAGTAAGAATTGTTCTTTTTTTTTTTTTTTTTTTTTGGTCTTTTTCCTTTTTATCGGTACCGGGGATCGAACTCACAACTGGCTGCTTCCAAGACAGGCGCTTATGCTGCTGAGTTAAATCCCCAGCCCCGAGAAGTAAGAATTGTTTATCAGTGTACTATGTTTATGTAAGACACGCCTTCCAGTTTTTATTTAAACAGTATTTTTAAAGAGCAGTTTAGGTGTTTTATGTTTTGTGTCAGTTAGCTAAAATTCACACAAATTTTCTGCCATCTTTTATCATCTGTGGTCTGTAGGGCCTCTGCAGGACACATAATAAAGTGTATTATTACTGAAGGGTGATGCCACACCAAAAGTAAAAAGATAACTATGCATTGTTGACCAAATGCTGACTGTCCAGAGGGTGACTTTTTATTGGTTTTTTTTCAAATCCACTTTATTTCAAAAAGAAAAAAAATAAAACTTCAAAACACAACAATCAGGGAAGAGGATGACTTTTTAAAACTGGTGATTGTACATGTGCTTCTTAGATGTTATCTTTCCAGCATGGTGGCACATACCTATAACCCCAACACTCGCACTTGAGGCCAGCCTGGAGCACCTAGCGAGACCATGCCTGAAAGATAAAAGTTCTTTTTGGAAAATGTGCGCGCGTGCACACACACACACACACAATTAAGAGAGTGCAAGAATGAAAAGCCAAGCCATATACTATGAGAAAATAAGGACGCACACAGACTTGAAACTCAATAAGATGGAGGTAAATAAATGAGCCTCAAGTTAACTAAACACCATGAAAGAAGGAATTCAGGTGTCAAACACATAAAAAGAATGCAAAGGCTATAGAGAAATTCAAATTTAAACCTCAGTGACCCACCACTAACACCGGGTGCTGGAGAGCCACTTAAACTCTCTTGCAAGAGCTGGGGAATGCGAAAAAGAACAGCTGTTTCAGAAAATAGTTTGGGGCTGGGGGTGTAGCTCAGCGGCATAAGTGCCTGCCTTGCAAGTCCACAGTTGTGAGTTCGATCCCCGGTACCAAAAAAAAAATAGTTTGGCAGTTTCTTATAAATGTTCATCATGCAAGTTACTCATTTTTACTAGTTTTATTTATAATTGCCTGAAACTAGAAGTGTCCCAAATGATATCTATTAGCTGGTAAATGTGACAAAGGAAAAATTCTGATATGTCCTAAATTAAATATGGCTGGAAGATGAAAAGGAATAAAGGAAATTAATTAGCAAACAAATGAAGGAATAAGTGTGGAAAACTTGACTCCAAAACCAGCTTACTGATCATTAGGTGACACTGTAATCCACTTAGAAAAGAATTCTGAGTTAACCTAAGCAGGCTTCCGACTGCAAGTTCTTCTGCGCAGCAGACTGTCCACCTGTCCCAGGTTCCCCTGCTTTGTCATCTCCTGCCTCTTTTATCAGTAACCAGTGTCAGTTCTTTGTAAATGGTTTATGCCTTAATTCCCAAAATGTTGTCAAGCTCTAATTTCTGTAACAGCTTAGTAAACTGTTTTACTTTAGAGAACACACAATCTCAGGAGTTTTTGACTTAACAAATGGATTAACAGTACTTAGTAAAAAGGCACAAACTCCTAATTCTGTACATGTAACAACTTAGACAAATCTATATATTATGCTAAGTGGAAGAAAATAGATTTTTTTTTAAATTTTTATCGGTACCGAGGATTGAATTCATGACCATGTGCTTGCAAAGCAGGCACTTACGCCGCTGAGCTAAATCCCCAGTCCCTAAAAAATAGATTTTAAAAGCTACATTCTGTACAATCCCACATATGAAATACTCTGGAAAATATAAACCATAGCAGCAGAAAGTGAATCAGTGGTTATGAGGAATCAGTAGTGATAGATGGATTGCTTCACAAGGGCAACAAGAGAGTTTCTCAGAGGTAATAGAACTGTTCTATGTCTTCACTGTGATGGCCATTATACAATAGTATGTGTTTGTCAAAACCCCAAACACTATATTGAAATGTTGAATTATAGAAAATTACTAGCCAGCTGGTAATTTAGCTGGTAATAGGCGTGGTGGTGCATGTCTGTCATCCCAGCAGTCTGGAGGCTGAGGCAGTAGAATCACAGTGAGTTCAAGGCCAGCCTGGAGTACATAGCCCAGGCGAGGCTGAACCACAAAGTGAGACTCTGTCTCCAGAATAATCAAATAAGTAAGTAAGTAAGTAAGTAAATATTACTACGTATGTACTAATAAATTGCTTCCCAGCCTTTTGGCTGAGATCAAGTGTACTAATAAAACTTATAAAAATTTTAAATTACTATGTAAATTTAAGAGCATAACATTTTAATAAAGTAGCTCTTCTGTTGGTTCCTTGAAGATAATTTTGCTTCTTCATTTTGTAGTTTGCAGGAGGTATTTATTCCAGGCTTGAAGCACAAATTAAAGCCTCAGTGCCAGTTAGTACACGACAAAGCAGCTCAGAGAAAAACCCAAGGTAAACCTGCGACACTGATTGGGAGCTCTGCCTTTGGAGGGGTTTGGGGTGAAGGAGTGCGGCGGCAGGGGATCCTGGTGACGCTGGAACCACACGGTTGGGATATGGCCTGTGTTTTGTTTCAAGGGTTAGACCATCAAGGTGCTAATCAGAACAGATTTTCATTTAAAAGTTAAAACTTTTTAGAATCATAGCGTAAAATTTAAAGCATTGAACTTTTTGTTTTTGTTGTTTTTAAGTTTTCGGTGTAAAGTCTGGCCCCATTCTATGCCATCTATTTCTATGAATTAGCAAAACTGATATATTATTTGTAGATTATATATTATAGAACTCACTGAAGTCTTTGTTTCTTGATTTATTTTATTTTATTTTATTTTTGTTAATGCATTATGTAGATCTTATGTCATTATACAGTACTTGAGACACCACACCTGATACCTACAGCCCTGAGGTTTATTTTTGGCTGGTGGGTTTTGGAGGATTCAGTCGCTCACTGGGTGGCTCCAAGGCAGAAATGGAGTCATGAGCTGGACATGGTAATCCCAGCATTTGGGAGGCTGAGGCAGGAGGATCGTTGCAAGATCAAGACCAGCCTGGGCCACAAAATAACTCAAGGCCAGCCTGAACTGCATAGTGAGACCCTGTCTCAGAAAGACAAAAGAAAAAAAAATGGAGTACTGGAAGGGTCTAGGCAGAAGGCAGCTGCTCTGCCAGAAGGAGAGAGAAAAGAGGTGCCAGGGAGGCAGGCTTACCCTTCCAGCAGGGCACTGATCAGCGCTGAGCTCCGTGGCCCGTGAGCAGGCATCTCCCAAAGCCGCACCTCCAAACGCACGGGGTGCTGGGGGCCTTCTGTATCAAAGCCCTAACACAGTTTCTGTTAAAAGTTAAGTTCCTGTGAATTGAACATTAGTATTACAGATTAGTGTCTTACCTGTAATTCTGAAATCGACAGAGCTATAAGATGGAAAGTTTTCTTGCATACAGTGGTGACCATTCAAACTTGAACTGACCCTACTGTGTGAATATTTGTAGTTTTTTTCTTACTGTGTAAATACACATTTTTTTCACTTTGAAGAAACATTATTTTATTATCTGTCCCAGATAAATAATGTACAGTGTACATACATAGCCATCTTATCTCAAAAAATCAGAATTCTAAATATGTCTCACTCCAAGGGGTTTAGAAAATGGATTATGGATACACAAAGTTTCTGAATTGTTATATTATCAGATAACACTCCAAATCAGTAGCCATTTCCTGTTATTCTAGAAGCAACTATGACGTTTTTTTCTGTTTGAAAAATCTAGGTCCAAAAGTCGCTTTGGTCAAGGGCGTCCTGGATAAAGAAACTTAAATATAAAGACGGAAGGTACTCCTGGACATCTGGAATTGCTCACTTCTTGAAGACCTTCAGAATGATGACTTCTAGATGTTTTATTTATTAATTCTTACAAGGCACATAATAACAATGCTGAAAATGCATATAGTTAGGTTTTATGAAAATCGAATTGTAAATATAAAAATCTCTTAAATCTTAATTTTTAGTACAATTCTAGACTGTGTAGAAAAAGCTTATTTACAAATTTTGCATATTTAAAATTCCTAATATTTATTATTCTTTATTTGAAAGAAAAATTAAATTGTTATATCGCTAGGTCCTTTTGAGACATTAAAAACTTTAGGAGTACACAACTGGTCATGTTCCCGTGCATGTGCACTGCTGGTACTGTGTCTCTGGGGCTGGAAACCTTGGGGATAGCATTGAGAACTGCAGTTTGTATGCTGAAGTTACCAGGGATTCTAATGTTAAGTTTGCATGAATGTTAGGGAGTGCAGGTCTCAAGACTGCAGTAAAGTTTCAGGGTGTGAGGCATTTCAATATTGTTAGGCAGAACTTTTTCAGCATTAATCCATGGAAAGTACAGTGTTAATCCAACTTAACTTCCTTTCAGTTTTTTGATGCTTACCTGTAGGTCTTCTGAGCTGGAACTACTGATCATCTCTTTCCTCTGTGAAGCTAGTGCCGTTACAGTTTTTTTTAAAATAAGCATTGGTGGGTTTAGAATAATCTTTTCAGCTGTATAGGACACTCACCATAACATTGTTAGTGTAGTGCTCTAAGGTCCATCCATATTTCTATAGTCATTTACTTATATAGACCTTTAAAACTTTTCAAACTGCTAGTTACTTTAACAGTCTCTGAAAAATCCTCACATATGTTTATTTAATAGGTAAAAACTTCCATGTATTCGAGAAAAAGCACAATAAAATTCTGTTTTACACATCATGTTTTAATTTTTCTAACCAACCAGAAAAGAACACTCAGGGAAAAGTTGTTCCAAACCATAAGCATATTATAAGTTATGTGTTTGGAAATTACTTACATATAGATCTCTGCAAACCTTTAAGATGCACTGTTTCCTTGGTTTGTTTTCATCTGCCTTGTAGTTGAAATGTGTTCAGATTTATAAAGAGAACAGACTGATATGTGACTGAACAGCCATCTTTGGAAATATTCACGCATTATACTTAGTTTACACTTCAGGAATCATTGTTTTTAGTTAGTGTTTTGATTTTGGGGGGAGGCTTTTTTTTTTTTTTTTTTTTTTTTTTTTTTTTTTATCGGTACCGGGGATCGAACTCACGACCACACACTTGCAAGGCAGGTGCTTATGCCGCTGAGCTAAATCCCCAGCCCTTTAGTTGATATTTGAGCTTACTTTTGATTTGGTATTTTATATGTGGCTTTGCCAAAGTTTTTGAATTTATGTTTGGAAATTTTATTCCAATATATATTTGTTTCAGTTGTTTAATATTTTGGGAATAGAGTGTACCATACTTATTTCCAAAAGCAAATGTTTCATCGTGCATTTAAATACCAGAGTCTGATAAAAGGATTTAGGTCTATACAGTGCTGTGAAGCTGACAATTAAAGAAGGAAGAGAGGCTGTTTTTTAACTTGTGGGAAACCGCACACTGCTGCACTGAGGGACTGTACTACTGAATTGATTTTAAAAACCAAAATTTAATTCTCTTTAGAATGCGGTTTTTGTTTTGTTAATGTCTTTCTGTAATACTTGCACACACACCACCAACATTTTACTGAAATTCTTAACCTCTTTTTGCCGAATACTTTTGAAGTTACCTTATGTTAATTTTGAATGCACACTTCTTTAAAATAAATGTTGATGACACAGGTTTGGGGGAGAGTCCTTTCATCTGAATCATTTCATGTTCTCAGAAAAAAGTCTAGATTTCTCTATATCCCACAGGTGTTCATGGAAATTTAGCTGTGTTATAAGGTGAAAAAATAAGATTATTTTGAAAATAGCTATTGTGGTATACATTCAGCAAAACATTTAAGGAATAGCGTGCTGCGGAGGGCTCAGGGTCAGAGCAGCAGCAGGTGCCGGCCCTGTGTGTGACCTCAGGTGAGGAGACAGGAAGACAGCCACATGCTGCAGGAGGGATGTCGGGACCGTGCTGATGTGCCGCTAAGGTTTCACTTCCCATCTTCAGAATGCTCACCAGGTATTGTGAGATTAACCACTCTGAAAGCAGGCTGAGACTGTTACACTTACTTGCTAGTGGTAAATGGGTGAGGGAAGGACTCCTGTTAGAAAGTAACATCTAAACTAAAGCCCAGTTTACGGGAGAGAGTTGTAAATAGTGGGAATAGTTAAAGTGAAGGAATTTTAAAACGGAGAGAACTTGCTTGTTGGAAGAACAGGCAGGCTGGGACTGGAATGTAGTAAACAGAGGGGAAAAGAGGTCCAGAGAGCAACCGCGGCTCAGGTGTGTTAGCCTTCACGTTCAAGTTTATCAAGTTGGACTGTAAAAATAGGTGTGTGGTGCATGCCTGTATTCCCAGCACTCAGGAGGCTGAGGCAGGAGAGTCACTGCAAGTTCACGGTCAGCAGGGGCTACATCGTGGGTTCAGGGCTGGCATGAACTACATAGTGAGGCCTTGTCTCAAAAAAAAAAGTAGCTGCCCACATCGCTCTCCTCATGCCCTCAGTGGCTTTTCTATCTGATGTCACTGTTCTGAATCATCCTTTTTCCATTCGTTGGTTTGCAGTGTGTCTCCCGTACTGGAATGTGAGCTCCACAAGAACAGAGACCTGGCCTTGACCATGATTGCACCCCCCGAGCCTACAGAAGTCATGAGAGCAGCTGAGAGTTCACCCCTGAAGGCAGTGTCTCTGGGGCTAGCCTGTCCCCAGCCTGACACCACTTCATCTGCACCTGCAGGTCATTAGCGGTGGACACCTTAGGGCAGTGGCTTCCTGAGTTCCCAAGACCAGCCTGCCGCTCTAGGGAGAAGCACATTAACGTAGTCTGTGTAGACATAAACCCATATGAGTTCTGCTGAAATAGTACAGCTTCAGGTTCCAAGTGAAATAAAAAGTTTACATAAACGTCACCTTTTTGTCTAGTGTAGTAGAGGTGAGCATTGGAATAATGAGCAACCACTGCAGAAATTTTTGTTAAAGGGTCTCACTATGCAGTTCAGGCTGTCTTTAAACTCATGACGTAGCCCAGGCTGGCCTCAGATTTGTGAGAGTCCTGCCAAATGTTAGGGTTACAGGTGTGTGCCACCACCCTGGCAGCTGCGGCATTTTAACAGATAACCATGGAATTGTGAGTACCGCTCAAGCTCATCAAAGTGATTCTTCGTATATTTTTCTTTTTTTTGTCTTTTTGAGACAGAATTTCACTATTCAGTTCATTCTGGCCTTGAACTCCCTTTCTAGCCCAGGCTGGCCCTGGACTCACAATTCTCCTGCCTCAGTCTCCTGAGTTCTGGGATTACAGCCATGTGCCACCACACCTGGGTTACCAATGTAGTTTTCATCCTGTATTTTTCCTACCTTTTTTTTCCTTCTCTTCTTATTTGTGCAATATTACAATCAGAAAAGAAACAACACCAGGCAAAAATACAAGATACTGTTAGGCTCACTAAAATATGTTGTATGATCCAGAAATACATTATTTATTTTTTCAATTTATTACAGTAAAAGATACCTTGCCATTGATCCGTGTGTTAGTCACTTTCCTGCTACTGAGACACAACACCCGGCACCTACAATTTACAGGAGAAACTTATTTTGGTTCACACTTTTAAATTTTAGTTGGCAGCTCCAAGGCCTGAGGAATGGTGGAAGGCGGGGGAAGAGCGGAGGGCCAGGAAAGGATGTACTCTTCCTGGTCACGTCCAGTGACTTGCCTCTTCTGACCCAGGGTCACTTCCTAACAGTGAGTCAGCTGTAATCACCCTGTAATCCAGTTACCTTCCAAACACATGAGGCTTTGGGGACTTTGTAATATTAGCCGTAACATCCCACCCCAGGTCCCCAAGACATCTGCATCTCTTCATGTAAAATGTATTCAGTCTAACTTAAGAGACACTAAAGTCTTAACAGGTTCAGCATGACTAAAACTCCAAGTCCAAAGTCTCCTCTAAAACATACGGCAAACTTAGCTGTGAGTCCCTGTAAATATCAAAGGTTAAAACACTGCTGACACAAGGGCACAGGGTCAGCATTCCCATTCCAGAGGAAGACACAGGGGACAGAAAGGTATGGGACTAAAGCAGGACCAAAACCCAGCAGGACGAACATTCAGGCCTTTAGTCCCACGTCCATCAGGTTGTGGGGAGCTGTGAACTCCGTGGCTTAGGTGGCCTGGCTCCTCTGCCGGGCTGGCTTTGCTCACTGCTTACGGCTTTTCTCAGTCCATGTACCTGGCTGCTTCAGTTTCTTGGGCTCTCTACTGTACTTTTGGATTTACTCTCACAACTTGATTCTCATTGCTGTCTTGGGCACACCATGTGACTTCTCAGGCCTTCTGAAATCTGGACAGAAGCCTCTGACCCCTTGCTCGCATTCTGTATAGCTGTAAAACAGCACCATGTGAGCGATGCTGAGGTCTGCCATCAGCTCCAGTAGCCAGGTTTTCTTGTATCACGGCTGAACAGAGCTCTGAGTACCTGGCTGGCTGAATGCTATAAACAGAATCCTGGGGAACAAGTTCCATAGGTGCCTGTGTGAAGCGCAGTGCCCTGGGGCTCTGTTCTCAAAATGGTGTTTCGTTTTTGCAACTTTGATGCTGTGCAGGATGGGTTTTGCTGATTCCTCTAGTACCCTCAAGCTATCTTTTTTCTTGTCTTGTTTTAAAGTACTTAGCTTCTTTTTAATGCTGATTTCAGCATCCAAGCTATTCTGTTCCAGCTTTACTTGACCCTTGCTTCCTGGGGAAACTGAAAACTCTTCAAATGAGCAAATTTTTGCTCCTGATTATCACTGTAAAGCTAGCTAAAGTCAGTATTTATGCCACAGTCTCAACACTGGACTGCCTTGAAGTTTCCTTTGCCAGATCAATCTGCCATCCTAATCTCATTTGTCAGCATTCTGGTCTTCTGAGCTCTAACTAGGATCTCTCATCACACTTGGCATACAGGATTCTAGGGCTGTTTCTACGGCCAGTGTCTCCAAACTCCTCCTTCAGACCAGCTCCAAAGGCACCTAAAGCATAGTCAGTTAAAATCACAGCAGTGATCCTACTTCTCTGGTACCAAAATCAAAACAGATCATTTTTTGATAGCTAAGACACAATACTCAACACCTACAACTTAGAGGAGAGGGGAATTTTTTGTTTTGTTTTTGTTCATATATATTTTTTAAGAGTAGGAAAATGTATTAGAGAAAAGGAATAGAGGGTAAGTTAGATACCGAGAGACGGGAGGTGTCCTGAAATGAGTTACTAATGGCACACATTTTTAACCCTTGGTTAACTGCCTTCAAGGCATGAAGGCATGGCAGAAGGGCTGGGCAGAGGAAACCTGCTTCTCTCGTGGTACCTGGAAGTGGTGTCATGTCAAGGATTTGGAGTCATGCCCACGGTGGCCCCACTTACAGCAAGTTAGCTGTGGTGCTCACTAATCTCACCATTTTCCAACATGGGAGGCTTCAGAGCCGTTTTAGATCTAAACCATAACCTCTTTCACCATGTTCCCTGTCATCTTGAATGCATTCCATCCTTCCCACCTTCTGAAGCAACTCTGGAAGTCCTCTTCTGAGTGTCTTTAATTGTGCTGTCCTGATTGCCCGGATCTCCTGAGTTAATTCAAAATATTAACCTTTCATGCTCATTTTGACTTTGGGGAAGAGCCAGAAGATGCACATTGCTAGATACAGTGAACCAGGTGGATGAAGACGCCATCATGGTGGTTTGTTTTTTTACAAGCATGCCTTTCTGTTAAGTGGTACTTGGGAACAGCAGTCACCATATTTTCTATCCAACTTCATAAAGACATGAGAAAGCCAGATGTGGCACACACACATGGTCCTAGTGACATGCAATGAAATTCCCGACCTACTATATCCGCGAGTTCGTGTTCTCTAAAATTGAAGAATGAATTTTATGAACAGCAGAGGTTAAGAGTAGAATTTATTGAACTTCAATATACATGAAAATATGGACAGCTATTTTGAAGAGAATGAGAGACTCTATGACAGCCATTAGTGACTTCCCTATTGTCTGGTTTTGAAGACCTAAATGGCCTTCCTCATTCTGTTTGGGTCAGTTTTATACTATGTTGTTTTGTATGAAATCTCTGTATGCAAAGACATGGACAACTATTTGAAAGAAAACAAGAGACAATATGACAGATAGTGAAGATCTCAGGTCATCTAGCTTTGAAATTTTATGTCCTATTTTGTACTATTTTGTTGTGTTTAATTTTACCCCCTTTAAAATAAAAAGAGTAGAATATATTTGTTGAGAGAAAGAAAGCTTCTATGTGAAGAGAGACAGAAGGGCTCCTGCGTGGGTTGCCCAGGATGCTGTCTTTTCCAGGGACTTTAGAGTAAAGCCATGGGTTCAAGGTGGGGGAAAACTGGAACTCACAAGGCTGATGGGCATGAGGTGGGACACAACTGTAGTCAGCCAATAAGATTAATAGTTCAGGTAAAATTGATTACATTAGGGACAAATGGGAAAGCAAGTCCCATAGGAAGCAGGGCATTCTTAGAGCTGTGACCTTGCCCCTAGGGGGATGGGATGGTGATGCCAGAGTGATAGGGAATTAATTAGAATGTAAGTCTTTAGGATGTGGATGCATTTGTTTGATCCTTTGTTTGAGGCCTGGCCCACAGCAGGTGGTGCCTGTCTCCCCTACAGCTGTAAGGTATCTCTGC